TTTTTTTTTTTTTTTTTTTGTCTTTTCTTTTCCCCAGCTCCCACTTGTGGGCGGAGTCTGGTGAAGGCACAGCCTTGGAATTACTTGAACTTTTTCAGTCGCATTGTTGGGGGAAGACAAGTGGTAAAGGGCTCTTACCCATGGCAGGTGAGTCTCAGAGAACATTCTCTGGTGGATGGACTATGAGCTCTCTCGGGATCGGATCCCTCAGAATCACATGCTACTCACCAGTGTGCTCCATTCTGCCTAGCTGGTCACCAGAGATCTCAAGAGAGTGCAGGGATTCAAGTGCCTCATGCTGTAGACCAGTTAAGTTCCAGAAAAGGTGTGTCCAAAATAGTTACATGCATTATTGGCTTGTTCCAAAACTTGAAAATGCCATCCCAAACTTTCAACCCCTAAGACAAAACTCCCATTTCAAGAAGATGAAAAACGTTTACATTTACCATTAAAAAATAATTTTCTGATTTGATACATGTATTTAAAATATGCTTACATCATTACTGTTAAAGATGACGAGGGAAGTCAAAGGTGTCATCTCCATAGGTCTACGTTATGTCTGAGGTGTAAGATCTGTATCTATATCATTGGATCTCTCAGGAAAGAATCAAGGCTACAGCCTTCTTAGCAGCTAATGTCCTAAGAATTCTGTCGCGATCTAATTTCCTGGTCCTCCTATGCCATAGAAATGTCTTTGGGCTTCTGCCCCTAGCCAACGGTGTTTACATTTATTGTCTTTGAAAGTCTCCCAACTTTCTCTACCCTGAGAGCCATGTTGTATTCTTGCCACTTAATTTTGCAAGTAGAGTGACAGCTCTTTATTTTTACTTCTCTTGAGTCAGTCATATTAACTTTTAGGTAGGTGGATATTTGGTAATGGTGGGTCGATTGTGCCTGTGTTCACTGGGTTGATGAGTGAATTACTCATTGATCCGTTGCTTACTTGGTCAATTGGCCGGCTAGTCAATTCAGAAGTCCATGCTCAAATCACAGTCAGGGATGATTCACTGACTTTTACTTACGTGCTCTTTTTTCTATTCTTAGCCTTTTCTCTGTATAAAATTTTTTTTTCAATTGCTCACTGAATACATTTTAGTCAAAAAGGGAACAATTCTAATAAATTGCTTACTTTCATATTCCAACAATAGAATGAAAGTATTGTCTGTAGCCAGTGAGTCATTTTAGAGTAAAATCCAATATCATGAACAGGATAAACCAAAGATAGAGGCAGAGTGAAAAACAGGCTTGAAAAAGCTGTAGAGGTCAAACAGTTAAGTGTATTAGAAAACTGTAGGTCCAGACCCCTTCTCCAAGAGGCCTGGAGAGCTTAGCGCATGTGTTGAGAGACCCCCTAGTCTTCTCACCTTGCCCTTCTCTCAGACCTGTTCTTCTGGATTCTGCTGTATCTTAGGATTCTTTTCCTTTCTCTTCATTTGCAGATATTGTTTATAATGTTAGAGTAACAGTATGAAGCAACATTATTATAAAAATAAACACAGACAATTCATGCAAAATAAATACTTACAGCCACTTATCTGAGATTAACTGCGTCTCCTGTGAACTAGGCTGGGAATGTTCTGGACTGCTCTTTTTATCTGAGCTGCAGCGAACACCTTTACAGTCCATGATTTCTAATATTTACGAAGAATATATCTGGGTCTGTTTTTCAGAATATGCTCAGTCTCCAGGTTTTGGGGGATCCCAGGGCATTAACCTGCTCTTAGTTAAGGTCTTTGCAATTCAGGTGTCTCTGAAACAAAGGCAGAAGCATATCTGTGGTGGAACCATCATTTCTCCACAGTGGGTGATTACAGCTGCTCACTGCGTGGCCAACAGGTAGGGAAGGCCTAGCCCACGGCTAAAGGTCAGATTACCCTTCTTTTCCCTTAGAATCAGCTACAATAACTCTTTAAAGCAGGAACTGGGTGATACGTGCTTAAGTGAGAGAACATCTTAATTGCATAACACAAATAGGGCTCAGTGATGTTGTCAGAGGGTATTCAGCTTGGCAGAAAGCATATATCTCTTGCAGAAGTAGATAGTTAAATACGAATGGAAGTCAATCAAGAATAATATCCAAGAGAGAAAAAAAGCATCACAAAGATATATTTGTGATAGTTCTCCTAGTTTTCCTAAATTTCAGTGAAATAAAAAAAATTATGCAGTTCATTATGCATCTTAAGAAATGGATAAAAAAGAACAAAAGGAGGCCAGTAAAACATAAAGAAGCTCCGATATTTTCCTTCATATTGATCCTGCCTCTATGAGCTTCAATCTAACAGTTTCCATCCTTCATCCACTTTCCTGTGTGTTTCAAATGGTCTGTTGTTACAGGTGCCTTTGGTACTCATCAGGCTGCAACCAGGTCCCCATATTTGCCCTATTTCAAATCTGCAAACATCTGCTGGATACTTACTTGGTGCTAGACACGAGTGAGTACAAAGATACAAAGATGAGATACAAAAACATAATTCCTGCCCCCAGAGAGTTGACAGTCTAAAGAAGAGTCAACTGATAATTCCACTGCAGTGCGGCAGGTGGGTAGGCCAGAGAGTTGCTATGGGTTAGGTTAGGTACTTACTATAGCCAAGAGCCAGGAAAGTACGCTAAGAGAAAATTATGCCCTTTCCAAATGTTTTATAAAATCATCACTTCTGGGAACGAAGGGTCCCAAAAGATGGCAAGCCAAAAGTTCTTAATCCATCTCAATTCATCCCACCAAGTTCCTTTCAGGTAACTTTGCTTCAGGAAGGGGAACAGAACGGTCTTTCCCAAGTCATGCCAGGTCTCTAAATTACAAGCATAAAGGAGGTAAGGAGAAGATCCCCACCTGCCGCTGTTGAAACCGCCCTAAGTCCTGAGAGTACATGCTCTCTGGGACAGCAGAGTTATGGTGCTATTATATCTTTCACAATATACATTATGCATTAGATCTCTGACAGTAAAGCAACATGCTTAGTGGGGATCACAAATCACTCGCTGACACTTAAGGCCAGGTCAACCACCCAGGGTAGCAAATTAAGTCCACGATAGCTTTAGGCTCCTGAATGCATATACAATACATATATATCTTTAGACATTTTTTTTTAATCCTTACCCAAGGATATTTTTTCCATTGCTTTTCAAAGAGAGTGGAAGGGGGAGAGAGGGAGAGAGAGAGAGAGAGAAACATCTATGTGAGAGAGACACATCGATTGGTTGCCTCCTGTGTGTGCCCCAACTGGGGCCAGGGATCGAGTCTGCAACCGAAGTATGTGCCCAATCAAACCTGGGACCCTTCAGTCCTCGGGCTGATGCTCTAACCACTGAGCAAAATCAGCTAGTGGCATCTTTAGACATTTTACAAATAACATTGCAAACTATTCAATTTATTACAGCATTGACTCCATGAGGCCATTCTTTACTACCCACCCTCAAATTGAGAACCTCTAAATTTTTACTAAGAGTTTTGGAGTCATTCTCATTCTCTCTGTCCAGCAGCCTCATACCCCCATTATCCATCCATGCCATTTTGAAGAGGCCAGTTTGTCAACCATTACAGCTATAATCCGAGGCTCAATGAAATCAATTCATTCTACTGCTTCCTCTTTATAGAAATATTGCATCAGCTTTGAATGTTACTGCTGGAAAACATGACTTGAGCCATACAGAGCCAGGAGAGCAAACCCTCACCCTTGAAAGCATCATCATACACCCACATTTCTCTACCAAGAAACCAATGGACTATGATATTGCTCTTTTGAAGATGGCAGGCACCTTCCGTTTTGGTAAATATTTCAGGCTCGCTCTGAATTACCTATCCATGTTCTCTGTAAATTCTGTTCTATAGCACATTTCTTACAGTATATGTTATTCCCCAAAATTCTGGGTCATGGACTTAGAGACAGGGATTTGAGGTGGAGGGTCCCCTACCTGAAATGCTTTTGCTTGTAAGCTTCAGATATAAAGTTGATTATGTAGAGTTGGGGGAGAGTGTTTCTTTGCCTGACAAGTGACACCTGGAAGTGTCAGGCAGAAATATCACAACTCTTACAAGATCTTGGGGGAACCACTTACATGCCAATTGGTGAGTGGCTTTTGGTGTCCTCTCTTCTATGCCCTGCCTTGCTCTTTTTTTCAGGTCTGTCTGTGGGGCCCATGTGTCTTCCAGAGCCAGGAGAACAATTTAAGGCTGGACTGATTTGTATAACTGCAGGCTGGGGCCGCCAGACTGAAGGCAAGAACTTCTATGCCTCTAACCTTAATCATATTCAGAACTTTCTGTTGGATAATCAGAAAATAGAAATTTTAATCTGTTTTTAAATATATATATATCTTTATTGATTTCAGAGAGAGGAAGGGAGGGGAAGAGAGTGATAGAAACATCAATGATGAGAGAGTCATTGATCGGCTGCCTCCTGCACGCCCCCGACTGAAGATTGAGCCCACAACCGGGGCATGTGCCCTGACCGGGAATCAAAATGCAATTTTCTGGATCCTAGGTCGATGCTCAACTGCTGAGACACACCCAGCTGGGCTAATCTGTTTTCTTAAGAAAACAATAGTGCAAACATTTTTTAAAAATAGAGGATATCAAAATGCACTTAGAAACTCAGGTCTTCTGAAAAGACACAGCCTAAATAGGTTGGGTACCTTCAACTCAGCAAGCGTGGAAGAGTGCCTTGCTGAGGCTCTCGTCTCTGTGTTTTCTAGATGGCAACCTCTCGCAAGTCTTGCAGGAAGTGAACCTGCCCATTCTGACGCAGAAGGAGTGTGTGGCAGCTCTGTTAACCCTGCAGAGGCCCATCAGCGGGCGGACCTTGCTCTGCACGGGCTTCCCTGATGGAGGGAGAGATGCGTGTCAGGTAGGTGGGAGCAGCCGGCCGGCAGGTCTCGGGCAGGGCTCCCCTCAGCTTTGTAAGACTGGGCTCTGAAAAGGGTCAAGAGTGACAGGGGAGGTTGAGTCAAAATAAAGGGACAGTTTGTACACCTGTTTATACCAGGGAGTGTGAATTCAGAGGAGGACTTCCACTTTTTCTAAAAGTCTAAGTAACAGATAATGCCGACAATGAGCCCAGGGTTCTCCACCTCTGAACGGCTGGCTCTTTCCTATTTAGGGGTTTCCAGTTCATAAATAACAAGAACTTTATTTCCCTTCCATTCCTCCTGCTGACCAAGACCTGAGGTCAGTTTTACTACTGGGCAAGGCTTTTTTGAGCCTGCAAGATGGGACAAGAAAAGGAAGGGAGCCTGAGGTGTGATGGAAGCCCAGGGTGGGGAAGGAGGTGGAACTGATGGGCTCCGCTACACTTCAGGATCTCATGTGAACGGTGCCTGCCTGTTCTCCCAGGGCCGAGACCAAATGATCATAAGTGAAGAAATGTCCTTGATCCGCTTCTAGCATCTTTATGGGGGCAGAGATTGAGCACCTGGGGGCACAGACCCTGATCATGACAGTAACAGAGGCTTTTCCCTCTACAGGGAGACTCAGGAGGTTCCCTCATGTGCAGGAATAAGAAAGGGACTTGGACTCTCGCTGGTGTGACTTCCTGGGGATTGGGCTGTGGTCGAGGCTGGAGAAACAATGTGCAGAAAGGCAATCAAGGATCCCCTGGGATCTTCACAGATCTTAGTAAAGTGCTTCCCTGGATCCAAAAACACATCCAAATTGGTAATAAAGCTAGCACCTAAGGTCAAGAAGCTAGGGCCAGAGAGAGCATCAGCGGCGTGTAGGCAAGTCAGGACCACTGCGCAGACAGGCTCTGCTTCTATTCTTAGGGTAGCAAATAAGGACTGAGATGTTTCCTCAGGCTAAAACAAGAGTAAAACATGTTGTGTAGTTCAGCATACAAATATCCAATGAAACGTGACTGCATCCATCAAATTTGCCTTTAATGAAACTACCCCAGCTAGTGATTTGTATTCACCACTTCTCAACGGTGCTGGCAAGATTCAGCAAGCAATAGTATCGATCAGTGGTCAGCAAGCACAGGGAATTTTGCCACTCAGAGAACAATGTCTGGAGACATTTTTGGTTTTCATAATTGGGGGTGCGGGGGTGACACTAGCATCTAGTGGGGAGAGGCGATGGGTGCTGCTAAGCCTGCTACAATGCATAGGGCAGCCCCCATGATAAAGAATGATGCAGCACAAAATGTTAACAATGCCATGGTTAACAAGCCTGGTCAGATCCAGGTACTATAAATCTGAAAAGGCCTGGGTCTACATATAGCACCCTACTAGGCTGACCAGTAAGTTAACGGAAATTTCATTTCTGCCTCCAAATCAACCTTAATTGTTTTAACTGGTGGCTTCCAGCCCCAGTAGGGCTTCCATTTCCCCCCAATGGTATTAATTCAAGTTAGTTCAGTAAGAACTTGGGTTTGTTTTCAAGTATGTGGTCCAGTGGCAGGTACCTAAGCCCTCAGTTCAAGCTGTAACTATCCCAGCAATTCTTTTGTGCATGTGGGTGAGTTACTTCCATCTCGAGCTTCCCTTCTCATGTAAAATGGGAGGGGTGGACCAGATGACCTCTTCTTGCTCTGAGTAACCTCCAAGCTAATCATGGCCTGTGTCTTAATTCACCTACTTAATAAACAGAGTAAAATTATCTCCTTAAAACAAAAATGTCACTTTCTGCTTTGTCAGTTATCCCTTCTGTTCTTTCCATAGATTACATTTTCATTAGTTGCATATTGACTTGAAAATCTCTGCACTCTTTGGCAGAGAGATGCTAACTTCTTGAAATATTGCTTAGGATACCACAGACCCTGAATTGCATCTTTCTTTTTCTTTCCCAGGGAAGTGGAGAAAGAGCTCCAGAGGTGGGTATTTCTCCAGCCTGCTCCCTCAGAAACATGAATTAATATCTGACACTGCTGAATATCAGTTCCCTTTATAATCAAAGTCTTCCTCTGCAAGAGCTGTCCTGGCTCACTAGGTATAAAACCCTCACTTGGAAAACCCACAGCCATTCTCTGCCGGTCAGGGCAGTCCCTCACCCAGCTGGAGCACCAATTCCCTCCCATTTCGCATCTTGTCAATCCAGAGCTCCATCTCAATTCAGCAAACATTTGCCAGATCCTTGCTTTGGATCAGAGACTTGAGTGAGGAGAGTGAGGCCGTGCAGATGTGGTCAACAAGCTACACATCTTGTCCTTCCTTACCCAAGGGACTTACCCCAGTGTCATTGCAAAATTGCAATGAATTCACTCTGTGACTTTGGGAAACTCCTTTCTACCGCCGGACCCCACTTTCCTCACTCATAAAGGAAAGAATTTGGACCAGATGGCTTCTAAGGCATCTTTAGCTCAATCCTCAGTGATTCTGTGGAACTACCTACAAAAAGCAATGTGAGAAACAGTACCTGAGAGCTCAGAAGAAGAAAAAACAGACAGGGAGGCTTTGGATCACAGACATTTTCTAAGCTGAACCTTAGAGGACAAAGAATGGGTAGAATTTTGTCAGGTAGAAATGGGATACAGGTAAAGAAACATATTCCAGCTGTCACCCTGGCTGGACACTGAAGGCTGAAGACAGGACAATGTAGGTTGTAACAGAGACCAGTCAATCAGGCAAAGCAACTCAAGTGCACGATATGTGATGGGGTTTCTGAGGGAGGTCAGAAGGTAACTAGGGACCAAATTACGGAAATTTTGAATGCCAGTCAAAAAGGTTTGGAATTTATTGAGTAACAGGAAGTTGATTAATTAAATCGATTGGAGCTATGCTTTAGTGATACAAGAGCAGCACACAGAGCACAGACTGGAGGGGGAAATGATTCAAAGTGGATTTATGAGATTACACATTAGTTCAAGAGATAAGAAATGAAGGCTTGACCTAGGGCAAGAGCCTGAGGATTCAAAGGACTGAACAGAAACAGGAAGAATTCAGGACCCGTTGGTCACTCAGATGAAGGGTGGAGAGGGAGGAGTCAAGGCTGCTACCTAAGTTTTGAGCATGAGAGTCTAAGAAAAGGGCAGATAAAGGTAATCAAAGCAGAAGTGGAAACACTTCTGCATACCCAGAGAAATCTCACTTGTAGCATGTTAAATTTCAGGGGTGATATCTAGGAGACGACTGAAAAATCAGGTCTGAAGTTCAGATACGTAGAGAGGACAGTTAAAACCGAGGATATGAATGAGACAGGTTAGAGGGCCTGGGCAGAGAGATGAAATCTAATGACAGAGCCTGGGAACTACGTGCAATTATAGAATGGAGTGTGGGGTCAGAGAAAGGAGAGTGAAGGAGAAGAAATCATAGACTCTTGAGGTTAAGCGGACCTAAAAGGAACAAGAAGAATAAGGCATCTAGAAGCCAAGGCAGAAAAAGGTTTCGTGAAAAAAAAAACAACAGTAAGCACGCATAGTGAAGAGCCGGGAGGTTCCAGAGTCTGTCCAGGTCCTGGAAAGCGAGGGCTGTGGTGACTAAACATCCTGATTAGCCTGATTCTTGTGGCTCCCCCCCCC